ACCTCGCTGAAGGCATGGCATTCCTCTTCCAGGAGCCCCTTTGCCTAATTTGCTCCTTAGTTCAGCAGTAAGGGAGAAAGGTGCTATTAGAGCCGACCTGATCTTTGCCAGGACACAACTGCAGCAAAATACCTGAGCCATCGCTAAACAATTTGCTCTGCCATTTCCCTTCTTTTCCTGCCCAGAGATGAGAAAAGCCTGACTGTGCAGGCAGGGTTTTCAAGCAGGCACATTTTGAGACAGTCTCTTTTCCCCCGCAGTTTTCAATTATCTGAGCATCGCCACCTCGAGAGTCTCATAACGTTGATTAGGGGCATTGCCACATTTAAGATTATTTACCTACTGTTTGTAAGGTTTCTGTGAGGTGAAAAAGAGTCAGCACCTTGCGCTTTGCATAGATTAAGGAGCAGGTGTATTAGCTTTTCTTCATAAATGTCTTGTTATATCCTGTGGGAGAAAAAAGCTACTGCTGTGATCCCTTCCTTGAGATCGGGAGATGCCGGCAGTGCCTGCAAACTGGTCATCGCCCTCACGCGTGGGTGCAGAGCAGCCAGAATTTTGGCATCTGATGAAAAGTTTGCAGACGAAAGGAGTGTGTGAAGGACACAGACTATGTCCCTTCAAAAATTTTCTAATTGTCAGTTAAATTGAAATGGGAGCAGAGCGTGAAAATGGCAATGATGGAGTCAGACTTTCTTGGGAATCCAGTGTTGGAAACATCTGCGTTTCAATATTCACTGTCCCCAGAGCCATCCATTCAAATCAACGCCATGCTGGCCGCCTTCACCAAAGCTGAGGTTTACTCATGTGTTTACTTTGGTTTCAGCCAGGCCCTTAAAAACTCAAACTTCTATGGCTAGGCATATTTGAGAAGTTAAATACTCAAAAACTAGGAAAAGCCAAAGTTCAGGTTTAAAATGCTTTCTTAGCAAACTTTCTGGGCCAGGGGCATCACCAGCCATTCCTGAATTGTACTATCATTCTGTTACGATTTTATACCTTTAAGTTTTCTTTGTTAAAGTTGTTTCGTAAGCAGTGGATCTAACTAACCTTACAGCTTTGTGGCCTCTCCCTGCCCGGCTAGACTGCAAAGGTCTCCAGGCTTTCCCCTTATCACTGCAACTGATGCCTTCAGTCCTTCCTCTGCTACCACAGAACCTGAAGCCTTTCTCCTTCCAGACCTCATTTCCTTCCACATACATGCATTTTTCCAAAATATTTCCAGTTTCCACAACGCAACATCTCATCTGACTCCCTTCTCCCCTCTCCCCTCCTACACCCATTCATAACACAGCCCCCCTCTTCTCAGCACCCTCAGCACTCATCACCTGCCAAAAACATCGGGTCCAGATCTACAAGCAAGGTACCTGAGCCACTGGCGTGTTTGCTCAGGACAGACGTCAGCTGGGAGGACAGACGGAATGACTCACAACACAGCAGGCTCCTCAGCAGAAAGCTTATTTCTTCATGTCTGAACTCAGCTCCCTTCTCAAATTGGTGGAAAATGCCCAAATGTTTACGTGTTAGTGGAGAGGCCGTGTAAGGGTGAGAAGGTGGGAGCTGCGTAATGTGAGCATATACGCTACACTTTTTGTACAAAAAAAAGACAACTTCCAAATCAACCACTTATATGACTGATTTCCCAACTTTTTTCTTGGAGAAGAAGGAAAAAAATTGTTTTGTTTTGAAAGGCTCAGGTCTATTTTCAGTTTGTTGAGTGGTGGGCTAACTTTTCAGACTATGGCCAACGAGCATACCAGGACCAGTGTGAGCACCCTCTGCAGGGTGCACCCTCTCCAGGTGCTCCATCTAGGAGGAGTGATGAGCTTCCACAGATTTATTTCTTGGTTTCTGGTTCTGACATGTGCATGTCTCTGTTTTTTGCCCCTAGGCAAGGCAAGCAGAGCACATGTCCTTTGTATTAACCAACAGAGAGACCACATGACTGCACTCCTTTCTCATCAGGAAATCAGGTTAAAAATACCTGACTGTTTGGTATAATCTTTTACTGTGAAATAATCTCCTGTCTTCATTTTATTTGAGCACTTACAAATTTAGCTTGGAGATCCTCCCTTACCTCCCATGAGGTAGTGGTGGCAGACACGAGTCCCTCCTAGCAAAATGCTTAAGTAGAATTCTAACTAAAAGCTTGCAAGTAGCATCATCAATTGCTCAACACCTTCTCACCCTCCTCTAAGATTGGGCAGCCCAGCCCTGCTATTTCCAGTCCCATCTGCTTTCAAGAAGAAAGCGGTCACCCAGTTTAGGGCTTTGTCCTATGCAACTGAAATCAGTAGGTGTTTTGTCTTTCCTTTTAGTGAGTCTATAGATGAGCTGGTAGCTATATGCTTTGACCCCATCAATTTCCCACCTGCTGCTAAAACTTATCGTTCCTGCTTTAGGAAGGATGAGCTCCTACCTTCTCTCTACCCCACTGATACCTAGTGATAAGAAGAAATGGGGAGGGGCAGGAGAGAGAAAGGAAGCAGATGAGAAAGCTCTCCTACTGAGCCTAAATCACTGTATTTTTATTACGAAACCCCCCTAACGCTAGCCAGTTTCACTAATACTTTCCACTTTGGTAACATCTTCCATCCAGAAACCTTGAGAGGAGATAGAAACTCACACTAATTTTTAGCCTTGCTACATTTGATTCTGCAAGATGTGTGCAGAAACCACGGAAAAAGAGAAAATCAGAGATTTGGCAAAGATCATTCTCAGAGTCTATAGCAGAATGAAAAATGTTCCTCAGGACCTGCAGCTCTAGTTTCTGTGTCTTGTCTACAAGGCCTTCATCTCACACGTTATTCTTCATAAGTCTTAACTCTAACACATGTGTATGAAAGTTAAAACGCTCTCTTCTTTAGTTAATAGACTATTAAGCTAAATACAATAAAAATCTGGCAAACAATTGACAAAAAGTACAGAAAAATTTGTTCTTCTTCCAAACGAAGACAGCTTAAATATTGCAGAGAAAATAGTCTCTCCGCCTTCTCTCTTTTTAAAAAGTAATCTTCATATGAACAGCATACCCTATTTACCATATTGTATTCATTTCTGTATGTACTGAAATTTCAGAACAGTCATTCTGGAAACATTTTTGTTACCATTTCAGCTGAAGGAGCGGGCTATAATTTACAAACTTTGAGGAACTATTATCCAGCTGTGTTTTAGTTCATTTTCAGAAAAGAAGGGATTATGTTTGTATATAGAAGTCTTTATATAATTAATGTTAATTTGCACATTTTAATGAAGATTATTATTAGCAAAGCATTGTAGTTTTGTTCCATGAGTTGAATAACATTCTGCTGTAATCAATGCAACATAACTCGTCCCTATTTTTTCTAAGCATTAACAACTATTTTACTAGAGGGTTTTTAATGAAGGCAAGGCATGATGACAGACTCTTAAGTGGGCTTTATCTGCCAAATAGCTTAATGTATTTTATTTTACATATTGCTAGTACTCTGTAAAATAACATTAAACATGACTTGCTACTAATGAGTCACTGCGAAAAATGACAGACGTCTTTTTGGCCGGAAATCAGTTCACAGCAAAATATTCAGTAAGACTGAGCCATTCTTCATGGGTTCACAACTTCTAATATCTCTCCTATTTTCTGCATTAAGGTAATAATGCTAAGGATAGAGCCCAGACACTGTCATGCCTTAGAGATCAGCTGAAGTAGTTACTACTAACGGGAAACAGCTTATAGAAGTTTTACATAGCTGTTGTACTTGTCTGGACCCTAAAGGGCTGCTCCTCGTCGGAGAAGAGCACATGCACATGCACATAAACAGCTAGTAGGGAAGAAGGGGCTGGCATTGTCCATCTCATACACCTCCTACAAGTTATGGGTTTTCTACTCTGCATACACTAGTACTTCTAGACAGAAGTGCCTCACTGACAGTGAGCCACAAATTCATAATGTCCATGCAGACAGCAGTCTTCAGATCAGGGGATGAACTCTCTTAGGAGATTCTCCCTGTTCAGATAAATCATACTACTGAATCCTTCCATTACAAGCTTTGTTCCTTTTTTTTGCACGTCCTTAACCACTAAGTGATTCTTGGCAAATTATCTGTTTACTGTGGACAGCTTTTGAAAGTCGTCTGTGTATCTTTGAGTTTTGAGCCTCTAGCAGTCTTTCTTTGGAGGGGCGACATCCATTCCTAGTGCTAAGATACCTACGATAGTCACCACTTCCAAGCATGCAGCTAATATGTATCATATGTATAATATAAATATCTAATACCACATGCTCATACAGGTCACCAAACTCACCACAGGAGATAGAGATGCTTGCTCTGGGTCATTGATATTTCTCCAGATGGAACAAGTCAAGTTCATCTCAGCAATGGTGCAGGTGCTGGGTGAATTATATGGAATTGGCTTTAGCGAATAACATCTCATTCCTTTAGTGACTTTGTCTCCTTGTGGAGTCAGCACGTGTAACTTAGTATGTTGGGGTTCATCCCCTTCTGGGCAGCAACAGAAATGTTTGCTAAGTTCCAATTAGTCAAAAATGTGCTATTGTCTTGGTGACGGTAACGGACTGAAGCTACTGGTATCATTGAGGCATTCATTTGGAGAGTGTAGAGCTGACACAAGCACATGAGCCTCTTTTATCTACAGGATGTCTACTTTTATTGGTGAGGAATAATGGATCTAGGCCTAATCCCTGAGAAGCAGATCAGCTTCAAAAAAAAAAAAAAAGAACTAGACAAATCTGCTCTGAAAACCATTAGGGGCCAGTACACACAGGACCATGGCATTCATTAGTTTCAGGCAGAACCACAAAAGAAATCTTTAATCAGAGTAATGTCTTTACAGAAGTTGTCAAAGGTTTTCTCTGCCGTTTGTATTCTGTATAGATCACATACGATGGTACAAGCCTACCATACTTTGTTACAATATTGTGTTTCAGTTAGCATTAATTAACTACAAACCAACAAACAAAATGCTTGATGACCATCTTTTTAAAACACACTTTCCGGAAGATGACTCTGTGCTTTCATTCACAGGAGGAAACCGAGTGTCCTTCATCTCTCTCTGTTATCAAAGAGAGGACAGCAGGGGAAACTCTAGAGGATGATTTCTTCCCACCTGATGATCTGTCTTCTGATGAAGAATATTATATCGAAGAAAGCAAAGCAACCCAGTTCAAGAAATCAGGCATGAGGCGTATAGATGACATCAAAAAGGCATTTTCAAGGGAAAATATCCAAAAGACGAGACAAAATTTTGGCAAGAAGGTAAACAGGCTTCGAACTAGAATAGTGACCCCTGAGAGGAGAGAGAGGATCAGGCAGTCAGGAGAGAGACTGAAACAATCTGGGATAAGGATCAAGAAGACCATTTCACAAGCTGCCCCAACGAAGGAGACGTTCAAGATCCATAAAAAAAATAAAGAACGAACAGGAGCCGAAGGTCAGGAGGGGATCCAGGAAGCCGGTGTGCACATCACCTCTGAGCTCGCAGCAGCAGAGCCCTTCACTGAAGAAATCTCTTACACAGAAGTGATCACTAAGGTAAAGAAAGACAAGAATAGTGCAACAAAAGGTGCTTCCCAGTCTACTGAAAAAGGAGTGACAATCCCAGAAGTTGTTCTTAAGCAGGAAGGAAAAGAAGGAGGAGGAAGTGATGATGTCCCTTTGCTAGACTTAAAGCAATCGGCATAAGGAATCAATTAGCAAACACACCATACTATCCTTACCGAACAAAAGATAAAGGTAACACAGTATGTATTCACTCAGCTTTAGAAAAAGGTGTGAATTTCTGTTATATCACAAAACATGTGTTGGTGGTGTTCTACCATTTACACGGGTGTCTGTAGTGTTTCTTCCTGACAAAGCCAAGCCATGCAAACTGAATGAAGGGGCTCCCCCTCTGTCTTGCAGAGTGCCGATAGCCATCATTAACCCAAATGGAACTCGCATGTCAAAGGGAGATGGAAATCTGCTGTATTTTCAAGATTGATTTAGCAGTCACTTTACAGCCTATTCACTCTCTTTAGTTTTATGTACAACAGTATAAAAATTATTTCCATTATCATCTAACCAGAAAACAATAATAAAGCTATTAATTCATATTAGCGAAAGGAAGAAGTACGGAAAACACCCGTTTAGCTATACAGATCTTTTCGTTTAAGGGCTCTCACTGAAACAGCAGGAGGAGGAAATTCCTGCTTTATCCAGGGTGTGACAAAATGTGGCAGGAATGATAGGTTTTTGAGTAAATTGTGTTTCTTCTCAGTGGAAAAGAGAAGCTCCTGAAATGACAAAAGATTATTTCCAGAGTTCTGGAAGAGGAAGGTTTGGTGTACGTAAGCAATGCATTTTCTGCACTTACGGAGTAAGAATAAAAAAGCAGAAGACACATTAAATGTGGAATAGCAGGAGGAAAAGAGAATGAGGTATCATATCAATGTTTCAGAAAGATGCGATTGTGACAAAGACAAGGGTATGAAGCAGTAAACAAGGAATAAGATTAATGCGTGGGTTCTGGATAAATAGAGAAAAAAATTAGAATATTGTAACTGAAGTTTCCTCGAGATCTTTTAAAGAATTTTCACCCTATCCAGAGGATCACAGGGCTTATGAACATAACTGACCAGACCAGGGAATTGTTTTGTTTTCCATTCTCTGTGCTTCACTGCAATTAAAATCTATTCTACAAAGCTGCTGAAGTACAGGGCCAATCCATAACCCAATTCTTTGTTTCCTATCATCATCGTTATCGACCAGCCACAGCCTCAGGGATTATGAGACAGACACCCTTTGGAGTATGGAACGCTATTTATTTGCAACACTCGGGAGCCAATGCCCTGACATCAGATATGTTTGTAAATACGACCGCTATGCTGACATGGTGTGCAGGACTGTATTGCTCTCTTCATTCTTAAACGGAGTTGCCTTCAAAGCACTTGTCTAAAGCAATGTTAGCCATAACTATCTGTGTGAAACTTGTACAATATTGCCAAAAGCTGTATGAATGTATTTAATATCTCAGATTCATTTTAACAGCAGAACATAACTTGGTTATCTATATACATTGCTTGAGGACTCCCAGCTAATTGTTAATCTATAATTTAAATATAATTAGTTTGATTTCAAATATTCTGCCTGCCAGTTCTTTCATTTAGTCTGGTGTACATCACATTTGAGGTGAAACAGCTTTAGCAATAGTAACTAGGGAACACTGGTTGGGGAAGGTCAATGTTACACTATGTCAGTGACATTTCAAAACAAATTAATGTTGTCAGATTGGAAGCAGCAACTCCACTGAATGGAAGGGCAAGACAGGGCAAGAGAGGGAGACACGAAGACCTTTTTTTCAACAGTAAATTGTACATCTTACATTACAATTGTAATTACATGCAAAAAGAAAAAAAGGTTTTGCTTATAGGATAGATTGGAGGGTTTGTTTGGTTGGTTTTTTACTAGTTATAGGAAGCCTTTTCTGGAACCAGGCAACTGTATGTTCTTCTTCCAGTTCCATATGAAACTATAGCTATCTTCAGTGAAATACTGTATGATTTGTCTGGTTCTTCTGTAATATGGCCTGCATTCTGTTCTGCAAGATTTGACGTTTTCCTAAACTGACAAACGGGGTTTAGTTATTGAAATGAAAATGTTAAAGTTCAAAGAAGCTATTTCTTTGCATTTTTATACAGCAGAACACTAAGTGCTAGAACATAATTGCCTATAGGTTTTCTTTATATAGCATTTAATTTTCTCATTTTACTTGACAAAGAAAGGAAGTGATGCAGTTTCCATGGAGCTTATCATGTAGCACCGCATATAACCTCTATCAAATATGTATTTTTTAATGTTTACTTCTAACTTCAAGTGTTCAGAGGATGATTTGTTTTCATAGCAAGTAGTGAAAAGTACTTCAATGCAAGTATTTCAATGTGCACAAAGGGCAAAGTATTCAATGTACACTCTTCATTTTAAGTTATTATCAATGTTACTGACTTGAATTTTACAGGTACCAGGAGATCAAAGTTAACTTACTCCATATCTTCTCATACAGGTAGGGGATGGGGAGAACACTATGGTTTACAACCTCAACTTCTATACAACAGCACAGCCTTTTGCTGCTTGAAGTCCCCCTTATCTTCTTCATAATTCCTTATCTTCTTCATAATTTCCAAGAGCAATCATCTTGAAGCCCAAACCTTCACCCTTCTCAGAAACAAAATTCTCAATGAAATTGGTTGATGTACAGCTGTAGTGCAGGAGGCCTGGTGTATATTTTTTGAACAGGTGGTTTCACTTGGTAAGATAATCTCGCTGGCACTGCGTGTGAAACAAGTGCTGCTCCGGGCTCAGTGGGAGAAAGGGACCCTGTCCCTCTCTGCTTTGTTTTCCAAGAAGAAATCTGGCACTTTCTGCTTAGTTGTGGGTGGGAGTGTGAATATCAAACTTCCTCACGGGAAGAGCCCTGCAATTGCTAACTGCAGAGTAAAACTGGTTATGGAAAAGGATGAACTACTTTCTTAGACACCAACTGAAAAGAAATTGAAGTGTTTATACAAAAATTGAAAGTGTTTACAAGGAGGAAACAAGTGATTAGCAAAGCACTCACTGCAAGTCCTTCTTTCATAACATCCAACAGCAATTTCTTTTGCTTTGAATTTGTGCTAGTGAAAAACGTTTTCTGCCAATAGTTGTCTGTCTATTAAAAGAGAAGTAGAAATCACCCTTCAATTACAGGGTAGGCAGCAATGGTAGCAACAAACAAAAATTATTTCCACCATTTCAGGTGAATCTACTCCCAGAAATGGCCTGTGTGTCTTCTACTTTTTTTTACCTAAGCTGATGCAAAATACAGAGTAAAAAGCAGTTAAGAGGTTTGAGTTTGCAGGATTCAGGCACTAATGCCAATGGAGCAAATACTAATAGAGCCAAAGTGGTGTTCAGATGTGTTGACTCTGAGAAGAGTTTCAAAACCTTTTTCTTGCTAATAATGGGGGGTGTGCACATCTTCCTTATAATGGGATATAGGTTTAGAAATGAGTTAATATGTGCAAAGGCCACTGCTTGTGCAAAAATAAACTCACCTGTTTGTACAACTTCTATGATAGTTAGCATAAACAGGTGACTATTCAAGGAAATGGTAGCATCCGTTTGTAAAACCACCCAGTAAGTTTATAAAAGCAAAATCAAAGGAACTGTGCATTGGAATACATGCAGATAAACATAAAGTTTTACCATATGTTTAATTTACTTCTCATTACAGCTTTAATAATGCTATGGATGATAAGTTTTTAACTGCAAAGTTGAATTTAAGAAGAATTATATCATATTATGAAGAAGTCTTGTATTAAGAAGAAAAGATAACATCTACAAAAGAACCACCATAAATTTTAGAGCAGTTGTTACTATCATAAGCACTTTTTTCCTAGTGTAGCCATTATGAGCAAGCTAGTTGATTATATTCTCACTTGCTTTATAACAGTTGCCAAATTTCACACCTGCAACTGTTTTCCCTCTGATATTCCCAGGTTAAATACATTTAGCATTTTTGCTGTGAACAGAGTAAACTGATCTATGTGTAATTAACACAATCTCTATACGTCACTTGTTAATTCCCATACCCCTATGAGAAAGTAGCCACCACTTTGTTAACAACAATAAAAGTCCTACTGGCTGCAGATTAATTTTCCTAGGTGGTTCTTTCTCTATAGCTACCTGTTGGTCCTTATTTTGAATCGCAGAGCAGTGCAACCCCCCGTAAAGTCCAGTGATCAGGATTCTGCACTGTTTTCAGATACAAAGAGAAAATGTACGTCAGATCTGTTCTCCGGGGCTTTTTGTAGACAGGGCAGGAGTACACACTTCCTTGTTGCTTCTTTGGGTCATGTAGTGCTGTTGTGCTAACCGCATACACATGGACTACAGGAAGACTTGTGAACAGCACCTGAGAATGTTAAAAGAGACATGGGGCTCAGCATTAGAGAAGCAGGATAGGGCGTCTGAACTCCAAATGCTGGAACTAGACTCAGTGATGGCCTTCAGCAAAAGCACCAGCACCTCACCAGAGGTACACAGGAGAACACAAGTCCTATGCTCACTACTACGTTGACCCTAACTGTAAGCCAGTGGCAGCTCAAGGACAACAGATGTCAAGAAGCCTGGAAGGAAAAGAAAGCAGCAGAAACCTGGAAAACTGCACGCCATGGAAGTAGATGGAAAAACGACAAGGTGGTTCTAGGAGGGAGAGAAACCATTGTCTTTTTTCCAGTCCTTTGCCCCTTTGGCTAGTGTTCCCAATTCTTTCCCCACCTCCTGTTCCCTGAATGGCAGGACTGGAGCTACAAAGGCCAAACTGCATTTAGCAAGCCTCCTTGTTACCTCTGCACTGCTGGCAGTGGAGCTTCAAAAATCCAAGGTGCCTCTTGGGTGTTTATCCAGACTAGATCTCCTCAGGTCTTCCAGCAATATAAAGTATTCATTGGCAGTAGGAAAAAAAAGACCCAAACCCAAGAGCAACATGGAGGCTCGCTAAAGACTCCAGAGCACTAGAGTAAACTCCATGGTTGAAGGTGTCTTTTGGCAAACCAGGCAACAGCTGTCACCAGAAGCTACAGCTGGCAAGGTTTGGTTTGGAAAAGTTTGCTCTCAGCCCGACACAGAAGTGTTTTACCTATGGAGAGGAATTACCTCAACTCCAA